ATCATTTTAAAATCGTGAAACTGACGGCGATACATAACAGATCGAAGCAAATAATTTCTACTAGCTTGAGCGGCATTCACAAATTACAAACTACCATTAAGATCGGTTACAAATGTATTTATTGTTGGTGATATTCACGCTGCCATATGGCTTCGTTTGCTTCGTAAGTTCGAGCCAAAATCCCCTGCTGCCTCCTGATTTTCAACCCAAAAAACCCCAATACGTAAAACATTACTTTTGCCGTGCCGGTGCCAGCGACGACGAATTCTCAGGCTCCGGTCATCGAAATTGAGGTAGATTGGTGCTGGTTCCACATTGCTTACTGAAATTAGTGTGTTCTGAATTCTCTGTTGAATGGAGCTTAGTCGAAACTAAGTCCAATTGACTCGCCCAAGCCTTCAGCCTTCAGCCTCCAGTTTATGAACACGGTCATTGAAGCTTGGATAATAGGTTTTTCTGTTCTTCTGCTTGAAAAATAGTGGCTATTAAGCTTATTATGTATGAAGTATATGGCTACAACTTACTAGCTTTTAATCAGTGTTTATTCGTGAAGCAATGATTCATATTCGTCTACAAGTTTTAAATCATTTATTTGATGAGACAATGGTGGGGAGGAAGAGAATGATTGGAGTTTCTTTGAATGCGTAAAATACAATTCTCTAGATGCCCATGAGTTGCCTGTTTTATAAGAATTATGGGACGCCATTTTTTCTTCAATATCTATTGGACCCATCTTCCAATTACCAAATTGAGAAGTTGCAAATTTTGTAGTTCTACCGCGCCGCCTGTTCAACCAGTGCTTCCTTCTTTCTCTTCCCTAAATGGACGAGTGAAAGGGAAGGCACTTGCCAATCTGTTGCTCGTTCCTGTTTCAAACAAATCGATTTTATACTACAGGAAAGTTCATTGTCAAGTTGTCTTGTGGGGCTTACAATTTGATGTGTTTTTATCAAACCTTCTCCTGCATTCATATTTCAAAATTGGGAGTGTTTTTGATGCAGGGACATTGTTCGACAAAATGCCTAATAGAAACCTAGTATCTTGGTCTTCTGTGGTTTCTATGTATACTCGATTAGGCTATAACGAAAAAGCGTTGCTATATTTCTTGGAATTTCGGAGGACCTCGGATCATAATCTGAATGAATATATTTTAGCTAGCACTATCAGAGCATGTGTTCAACGTGATGGTGGTGAACCTGGCTCCCAGGTCCATAGTTACATTGTTAAAGCAGGATTTGATGAGGATGTTTATGTAGGAACCTCGTTGGTCGACTTGTATGCGAAACATGGTGAGATAGAAAAAGCCAGATTGATATTTGATGGTTTAGTCATGAAGAGTGCTGTGACTTGGACTGCTATTATTACAGGGTACACAAAAAGTGGAAGGAGTGAGGTTTCATTGCAATTGTTTAACTTAATGAGAGAAAGTAATGTTGTACCTGATAAATATGTGCTATCTAGCGTTCTAAATGCGTGTTCAATGCTTGGTTTTCTGGAAGGCGGTAAGCAAATACATGCTTATGTTCTGAGAAGGGAAACAAAGATGGATGTGTTGACATATAACGTTCTTATAGATTTCTATACAAAATGTGGTAGAGTGAAAGCTGGGAAAGCACTTTTCGATCGAATGGATATCAAGAATATTATTTCTTGGACTACCATGATATCCGGGTACATGCAAAATTCATATGATTGGGAGGCTGTGGAATTAGGTAGTGAAATGTTCAGAATGGGATGGAAGCCAGATGAGTATGTTTGTTCAAGCATTCTTACATCATGTGGTTCAGTTGATGCTTTACAACATGGAAGACAAATACATTCTTATATTATTAAGGTTTGTCTTGAACATGATAACTTTGTGATAAATGCTTTAATTGACATGTATTCAAAATGCAATTCCTTGGATGATGCAGAACAAGTCTTTGATGGCACGACTAGTCACAGTGTGGTCTCGTACAATGCAATGATTGAAGGATACTCGAGACAAGAGTACTTAGATCAAGCATTGGAAATCTTCCGTGAGATGAGGGTAAAACATGTTTCACCAAGCTTTTTAACATTTGTAAGCCTTCTAGGTATGTCAGCTGCATTGTTCTGCTTGCAATTGAGCAAGCAAATCCATGGCCTTACCATCAAATATGGTGTCTCTTTAGATAAGTTCACTAGCAGTGCTCTTATAGATGTTTATTCTAAATGTTCATGCATTAGAGATGCTAGGTATGTGTTTGAAGAGACAACTAATAAAGACATTGTTGTTTGGAATGCACTGTTTTCTGGGTATAACCTACAATTCGAAAGTGAGGAGGTTTTCGAACTATACACGGATTTACAATTTTCAAGAGAAAGGCCAAATGAGTTTACTTTTGCAGCCCTGATTACAGCAGCCAGCAACCTGGCAAGTCTCCAGCATGGTCAACAGTTCCATAATCAAGTCTTGAAGATGGGTCTCGGATTAGACCCTTTCATCACGAATGCTCTTGTCGATATGTACGCTAAGTGTGGGAGTGTGGAAGAAGCTGAAAAAACATTTTCCTCGGTATGGAAAGATACGACATGCTGGAACTCGATGATTTCAATGTATGCACAACATGGAAAAGCAGAAGAAGCTCTTTGGATGTTTGAAACAATGATGAACAATGACATATCTCCCAATTATGTCACTTTTGTGAGTGTTCTAACAGCTTGCAGTCATGTTGGATTTGTTGAAGATGGCCTTCAACATTTCAATTCAATGGCCAGATATGGAATTGAACCAGGAATGGAACATTACGCTTCGGTCGTTACTCTTTTGGGAAGAGCGGGTCGGTTATCTGAAGCTCGAGAATTCATTGAGAAGATGACAATAAGACCTGCAGCATTAGTATGGAGAAGCTTGCTCAGTGCATGCCGAGTTTTTGGCAACGTCAAGTTAGCGAAACATGCTGCAGAGATGGCAATCTCGATCGACCCCATGGACAGTGGATCGTATATTATGCTTTCAAATATTTTTGCATCTAAAGGTATGTGGGGAGATGTGAAAAGGTTGAGGTTGAAAATGGATGTTAGTGGTGTAGTTAAAGAACCTGGACAGAGTTGGATTGAGGTGAACGGTGAAGTTCATGTGTTTGTTTCAAGAGACAGAGACCATGAGGAGAGTGATTTAATTTATTTAGCTTTGGATGAATTAACTGTGCAGATGAAAGATGCAGGTCATGTACTTGATACCACAATTCTTGAAGCCAATGATTGAGATATGAAATTAAAGGAAACATTCTTGTGAAGAACGGTTCCTAAAATTCATGATTCATTGAGCTTTGAGATATTTTTGACTTCACTATTCTTCTCTTCTATTGATGCTGATTGGAATCCTTTTCCGCAGCCTTGTCGGCCATGTGACAATGTGAGTACAAGGTTATCATTATAACTTTATTATAATTTTTTTTTTTTTTTTTTTTTTTGTAACAGCTCAAGCCTGCCGCTAGTGGATATTGTTTTCTTTAAGTTCTTCCTTTTGAACTTCCTCTCGATGTGAGATCTCACACTTGACTCTAGAGGGGATAGATTGTGTGATCCCACATCCGTTGGGGAGGAGAACAAGACATTCTCTATAAGGGTGTGAAAACCTCTCCATAGTTGACGCGTTTTAAAAACCTTGAAGGGAAGCCTGAAAGGGAAAGCTCAAAGAGGATAATATCTGCTAGTAGTGGATTTGGGTCATTACAGTGGTAGATTAATGGATTGAATCTCTGATGTAAGTCATAACGTGTTATTGTTGGGAGCATCGCTCCAATTAAGGAGAAGAATGAAAACCACCACTTTTCTCATTGTTGATGAGATCAATAGCTGGATTATTCAATCGGTTTCCTTTTTCCTCAGATCGGTAACTGAAATACAGATTCATATAGCTTTCAAGAATCTAGCGGACTCCTTGAACTGTTACACGTCGTGCTCAAACCATGATCTCCACCTTAAATTTTGGCTATTCTTAACAACTTGGCTATTCATTTTCCAAACAGTTAATCAACCGTTTGAAACTCGAATCAATTTCCTTAAGTTGAGCTGGTTCAATTCGCCTCTCCTTTAGTTTGACCCCTACTAGGAGTGACCACTCGAGCTTAATATGGTTCCTAGGACACACCTCAAACTCCTTGGGCCAGCCTCTTATGTTCGCGGGCGTACCCTCCTAGAGGTCGACATATTAATGGACTCCTCTAAAGGTCAGTCTTGATGGCCTTATACCAACCAAGGGGTCAGCCTTGTAGGCCTTTAGCCAATCGTGGTGTCGGTCTTCTTGAGCCTTGGCCAACCCCTTGAGGCGTCAAAACCTCCTTGGGCTGCCACTGGGGCTTCACAGTTGGAGTTGTTCGGCCTATCTTTCATTCTTGACTTGGCGAGTACACTATCCCCTGCCATACGTTTTGTGTGGTTGTATGTTGTTGCTCATAATGAACGTCTGACTTCACAAATTCTCACTGCATACTAAACTAAGCCAATTGTTGACACTAAAAAAAATGGTAATAATGAATTTTAGAACATCCAAAGACTATCGATTTATTTTACTCAGATAAATAACCTTCTAAATTTTTTAAACTCAACAACTCAGTACTTAATAACTCGAACATCCATAATATATATACAATACATATACAATGGCATGCATAAAACGTTCGTAACACAAATCACAAAAACAACACAATCAACCTTTAACAAAGTAAAGTGGTAGAAGATGATCATGTTGATAACATGTAATAAAATAAGAACCAGAACCAAGAGAAGTCATTTATAGAGCAAAGTAGAGTGGAGAAGAAAGTAGAGAGGAGAAAATATAAAGACTTCAAGACCAAAACAGATTTCAGAATTAGCAATGGCCATCAATGGCCATTAATTTGACAGTTTTATCTCTAGTGCAATCATTATTCCTTTTCCTTCCTACAATAATGAATAATTCTTTAAACATTTATCTTCTCTGATAATTTTTTTCCAGCAAGAAAGAGGTCTCTTGAGCTAATATGAACCTGAGCTTCAGCAAAATTCTCAGCTTGCAAATCAAAAGTCAGTAAAGCGAGGAATCGAAACAGGAAAAAAGGTTTCAAATTTATACAAAGAACATAACAATTTAACCATGAGTTGTGATTCACTTGAAGCCAACTAGATGTTATTCTTTGGCCTCTTCAACCATAAGTTGTTTAGTAAACCAAATGAACCTAAATGTCAATGAATCCGTAGTAGTCATGAAGGCTCTGAAGCTTCTGTGATGGCCGGTTTCTGGATTGTTGTGACTATTTTACAAATAGGCATGACTTCGTTCTTGCTAAGTAGCTTCAAAGAAGGATGGACGTCTATATCGCGAATGAAAATTCTCTCCCCGATCTCCAGATTACTTACATCCACCTCAATCTTGGAAGGAATGTGCTCGGCCGGGCAAAGGTATCTCAGGCTAGTTCTTATCCTATTCAGTTGACCTCCTGTTTTCCACAAAAGTAAAGTATCAGACTTCAGAAGAACAGTTGACAGGCTGACAAAGACCACAATACAAGTTTTGCTTAATTATAAAATATCAATTGTCCAACTCTTTATCATCCTAGCTACGATCAGATAGCAATCAAGACCTTTTATTTACCATGTTTAAACAGCATAATCATACACTGAACTGTGGCTATCAAATTCAACAGGCAGCAAATTTGCAAAAGCCTTGCAGGCCAGAGGGTACCATTATTATAGAGCAAAAGTTGAAAAAGCTAATGGTGTATCATCTACCTAAGTTTGACCATAGTTCATAGTTCGAACTTTAGGAAAAACCGTATATTTCCCAAAATGTCAATGCTTCATGATACAACTCATCAGCCAATGCATCTCAAGATCATTGCTCATCATCAATGACTAACAGGGTCTAACATGGCTCACAAAAATGGTCCAAAATACTTAAAAGTAAGAACTAAAGAAATGTGGTCGATGCAAACTCTCAAGTCTCAATGAACTCCACAATCACCTGAGATGTAGAAACTATCATGGTTAAGTTCACATTCAAAGCATTCCCGAGTTGGATTCTGATATTAAGTGTATGATTTAATGGCTAAAAACAACATTTTTATGTCACTCTGAGGCATTGATTAAAAACGAAAGCTAAAGTTCCTGGGATTAACAATTGGTTAATCTATTTTCTGCGAGGTCTTTAGACTTGAAAACAGAGAATCTTCGAGCAACCCAGGAGGAAAGAAAGATTTGAGATGATTAAACATTGCACAGCTTCTTGTTGTATTAACCAACTACAACAAAAAAAAAAATTTGCTTCTCTTAAGATAAAACTTCGGTGTCATCTCGGCAACAATAAGAAGTGCATAGACGGCTAAGTAAATTTTCTGGATTCAATAAATTAATTCCTCAATAACTTGCGATCCCATTTGTTTATTTATTTTTATATAAGAAAAAATTTCATTAATATTTAAAATTTACCGAAGGGGTATGTTATCCATGATGCTTACAATATACCTTCCCAATTTACAACGAGAGAGGTAGCAAAAGTTTACACCAAGAAATGACGTAAACATTTTCAAAAAGCCTAGTATAGGTATGTGTTTTCTCCATGAATACTCTTTGATTTCATTCTTTCCATAGATTCCAAAAGGAAACCATAATGAGATGTGTCCATGGCAAAGCTTCTTTAAATGGGTGGTACATTAAGGTCAGGTCTAATAACTCCTTTCAGATGTCATCTGATGTTGAGATTTGTTGTCCAAATGTCACAAGTATATTGCACTATGTCACGGTCATACATTTTCAACCATGTGGCGTCGTGATCTTAACATGCTCACGACAAGCCTTGAGGGGAGCTCAAGCCCCCATATTCATTTTTCACCCATCTTTGTGGCTTTGTCGGACCTTAAGCAAGGTTGTCTTCACCCACCAAACACAACTTGTGCAGAATCAAACTCGTCCGGCACGACCACACATGTTGCTCGTGCGTTCATGTTTAATCATCTGCAACTCAACCTGACTTGCCTCTACACTAGACCAAATCATTCGGCTTGACCTTGTCTTTAATCAGGCCAAGGTCTCTTGTAAGCAACGTCGCAACCCAACATCATTTAGGTTCCTAATTAACATGACTTTCATGTCACGATGCCATCCCAAGTACTGAGATGCCATCAGCCAACTTAGATTGCTTGGTCATGCTCATCAAGAATAGGCCCATTTGTCGTTCATAACATCGGGACATCCTGAACATCCATCCATTTAGGGTCTATTAAGGCATTGGACCCTCCTGTGTCCATGTCATATCATTTACGGACTCTGTACTAGATAGCAGGCGTATGATCCAACCTCCAACACATGGACTGGGGCACAATGTCGGCATAGCTCTGTTGTCTTACACTGCCCTTGAAAGACCCATTCAAAGGAAGTCGTCCGAGACACTCATCTCGCAACGCTCGCCCTCACTATGACACACATGCCACAGGATCCAGGGGTGGTGGAGAGCTAATAACATGTCTCCCCCTAAGGTACATTTTGAGTCATTTCCAGTCTTCCTGGAGTAGACGTGATTTTGACAATCAGTCATATGACTTTGTGGAGTGTCCGTCCAGTGTCTAATTGACACCAAATTTGGCGAGCATTCATACTTCATATGGACGGGATTAACACCAAAGTCACATGCTTGAATGCCCTCCTGAACCCTAACTTTTGAGGTTAATGCCCAAGGCCCTACCTGACCCTTACCAAGCCTATCTTTGACACTCACGTCAACATTTTTGCCTTTTTCTTGTCTATGCCACATCTTGGCTTTCATGCACATCTCTATGATGTGTTAGATGATGCATCGTCCTCCTCGGTCGCATCACGACACTTGTCTACCTCAGCCCATGCTTGGTCAGTTGGGTGCCATTTCCGTATCGCCACCTTATCTGTCTCTACATGAGGATCACAACCTACTCTCTTCATAGTATGGTTGGTGACACACTGACTAAATAAATAATTTTGTGATTTATTGTCTTTCTTGCATAATGGGCACCAATTAGGAAATAATGTACGACATTATTTGATGTAGGTTTCCAATTGTGCTAATGGCTTTAGGCACCATTCTCCATAGAAAAAAAAACTTTACCCTTTTAAGGGTGATTTTCTTTCCATATTTCCTTTGCTAGTGAGGAGCTTATTGCTTCTACCTTTTCCTCCATATCGATAGTAAAAGACTTTGTGGAGAAGACACGGTCAACACAACGTACCAAGGTACCATTTCAATGAGTTTGGATTTTGAGACAATACAATTGAAGTAAAGTCGAGGCTTAATTCGATTCATTTCTTAGCTTTATTATCCCATATGTTCCTTTTGAGCTTCAAGTCCCAAATTTGTTTACGTCTTCCCATGTTTCTTTGGTCAAGGCCATTTTGCATTTTGAGAATCTATACAAAAGAGGATACCACAAGGCTATTGTGGTGTTGTCAATCCAAAAAGATGAGTTTCCTCCATCTCCCACTCTTTGGCAAATGCGGTTGGTGATAAGGTTTTGGAGCTTTTTTATATACTTCCATGACTCCTTTGTGACTTGTCCATGATGTAGGAGCATATTTAACCTTCATATGATTTATAGACAAGGTGGCGCCTTTGTGGTCATTCGATGAGAGGAGAGCTTTGTTCTTCTCCTGTATCAAATATAGGTCGAGTCCTCCCTCGTCTATTGGGAGGTTTATAGTATTCTATCAGATAAGGTGATATGAACCAAGACCAAGGAATTTCCATACCACAAGGTTCAATTACAAGAATGAGAGCCAAGAAGTTACAACGAGCTTTAGTCACTTATATTCAAGCTATGGTGAATTCGTCATAGGAAATTTTAGATGAGGTTGGGGTCCTTTCCTACATATGGTGCAAAGTTGAGCTTCAAGATAGAGAAGAGATACATTAAATGCATTTAATAAACTCATAGATGAATTTATGAAACTTAGTCCAAAGATGTTACTAGATAGCGCATTTCTTTTATTGCATTATTATATTTGTAAATTTAATATTTATTATCATTTAAGCTAGTTTTAATATGAGAGTAAAGGTTATATTATAACCCACCTAGGTTACCATATTTCATAGTTAACTAACTAATCATTTTAATAGGGAGGTTATGGGTGTATTTCTCATTAACTAGCCATTTTAATAGGAAGGATTTAACTCACATAGATTAAGGTTGTCAAACTGTCAAAGGTTATATAAAGCTTTTTTTTTTAACCGGTTTTCAAAATCCAATAAGGTTACCATCAAGAAAACCAATTTGGAAGATCTTAAAGAAGAACAAAGAATAGATAAGACTCAAATCTAACACTTTATAGAGTCTTTTACAACCTTAACCTATGTGAGTTAAATACACACATAACCTCCATATTAAAATGGCTAGTTAATGAGAAATATACCTATGACCTCCCTATTAAAATGGGTAGTTAATGAGAAGTATACCTATGACCTCCCTATTAAAATGGCTAGTTAATGAGAAGTATACATATGGCCTCCCTATTAAAATGGGGAGTTAAATGAGAAATATACCTATGACCTCCCTAACAAAATGGTTAGTTAATGATGGAACATGGTAACATCTGTGGATCACAATATGACCTTTAACTCCCAAGACTAGCTTATACCTATGACCTCCCTATCAAAATGGCTAGTTAATGATGTCTGTGGATTACAATATAACCTTTAACTCCCATATTAAAACTAGCTTAAATGGTAAACAAATATTGAAATTACAATTAAATAATGCAATAAAAAAAATGTGTTACTAGTAACCATTTTAGAATTTTCTTTGACGAGCTTACCATAGCTTGAATATAAGTGACTAAAGCTCGTTGTAACTTCTTAGCTCTTGTTCTTGTAATTGGACCGTATGAAAATTTTTTGGTCTTGGTTCATATCAAGAGGTGTGGTTATCTTTCTTCAGAGAGTTTCTGAATGATCTTTATATTTCCATAGCCACTAGGCATTTTGAATAAAGACATGTAGTAAGTGGGAATGTTGGACAATGTAACTTATATTAGGGTGAGTCTTTTGCCTATAGAAGCATAACAAGATGACCATAGTGGTAACTTTTTTTATTTTTTCAATAATGGTCTTCCAAAAAGAGAAGGATTTGGGGTTCCCATTTAAGGGTAATTTTGGAAGGATTTGGGGTTCCCATTTAAGGGTAATCCAAGGAACATATTCGATCATTCACGCTTTTTAAACCATATTTATTGACAAAGTCTTTGATATCCTTTGTGCTAACATCAATGCCCATGATCCTTGTTTTTTGAAGGTTGATGTTTTGTCCCAAGAATTTTTCGAAAATTTTCACCGTCTCAAACATGTTTTTATGGAAGAGACATTAGTCAATTCAGAGAATAGAATTATGTCATCAGCATTTAGAGAATAGAATTATGTCATCAGCATTTAGAGAATAGAATTATGTCATCAGCATTTAGAGAAAAGAATTGTGTCATCAACAAACTAAAAGTGGTCGATACTTTAAGTTTATGTTACCAACCAAAAAGCCCTTAGTATGCATTCGTATTCTACCTAGGTGAGTAAGCGACTATGGCAATCCATTATCAATATGAAAAGACAAGGGGATAGTAAATTCTCTTGTCGAAGACCCAGAGTAGCCTAGATCTTTCCTTTCAGCTTTCCTTTGATGATGGTGGAGAAGTTTGTGGATGAGAAACAACCTTTTATCCACCATACCATTTTGCGCCTCGAGAAAAGTCTAACTGAAGGTTTTTTCTAGGTCAAGTTTGATGACTACACTGGTTTGTTTCCTCCTTTTCCAACAGTCTATTAACTCATTTGTCATGAGGAATGTATCAAGAATCTAACATCCCTCTCACATGTTATATGCTGCCTAGTAATCATAAATCTTATGATGGAGAAGTTCTATCACAAGATTTATGGGGCAAAAGAAATCACTTCTTTGAAATCAAATAGATATATGTTTCTTGGAACACTCTCATGTATCTTCTCTCAGAATGTTCCAACATTTTTTAAAGAATTAGAGGTAAAACCATCCAGTCCCCGGAGTTTTATCGGGGCCCAAAAGCTTAATCCCCTTCCCTACCTCTTCTTCGATGAAAGCACCCTCCAGGGGGAATTTTGATAACACCGTGTAAGGACACAAATTCTTAGACAATTGCACCTTCGCCTTATTTTTGTAAATTAATTCCACAAGACTACGACTACATATATCTTGCTCTAAGAAACCAAGAATACGTCTACGTCAGCTTGGGAATTAAAGTAAGATATCTTCGTTGGTTACCTTTCTGAAGACCAGGGCAAGCCTCTTCCCCTTTGAAAACAATTGGCACATCTACCTTCAACTCCGAGCCTTCATCAGCCCATACAAACACCATATTCAAGATCTTCCCGGTCTCTTCATCCCTGTGAACCTGAAAAATCCCAAGCAATTACTCCATAACAAGAAAATGAAAGAAAAATCAAGTTGAATTAAACACAAACAAACCGGTGGAGACAAACGAATGGCTTACTTTGATTGGAAGGATCGATCCTGATTCAAGAAGGACTGAAGATCCAGAACCAGCACGGATTTGGAGTTGTAACCTAGTGGAGCAAAAGAAAGGGAGCTCAACGGACTTGAGAATGGAGTGGATTTGCTTTCGCTCTGCAGTGAGCAGATGCTTCCGCGAAGGCGATCCGTGGATGGAGTTTTTCTCAAGGAGTTGTTGACTGAAAACAACAGCGGGGATTCTTCCCTGCGCTCTATCTCTGCTTGAAATTCTGCTGCCGCTGCACTCTCTGGGGATGGCTTGGATAGTATGGTAAGAAGCAGCTCGAGATGATGAAAATGGAAACGGTTCCGATCTAGCGCTGGAAAGCGCCAACAACCTAAGGTTCGTTCCGGTGGAGCGCCACCACTTGGCCATAATCGGTCGGGGGTATTAACAATGGCAGCCGGAATAGCGAAGAGTTGAGCGGAGCAACAAGCTGTACGAGGGTTTATGCAAAGTGGAGCATGGGGTTTTGAGTATGGGCCTTTGGGCCGACTAGAGTTGAGAGTTTGAGTTAATTGTCGGAAGATAAGTTTATAAATAAATAAATAAATAAAAATTTAAATAAGTTTATTTATTTATTTATAAATAAATAAATAAAAATTTTAAAATTAATTTTTTTAACGACCGAAAATGTCGGAAGATAATTTTTTTTTTTTTTTTTTTTTTTTTTTTTTTTTTTTTTTTTTTTTTTTTTTTTTTTTTTTTTGTTTGTTTGTTTGTTTGTTCTAGCCTAGAAAACTAATGAACAATATTCTCGCATGCATGCATCCATCTAAGGGAGGGAATGGTACATGCATTTGACTTCATGTTGTCCAATGTTATACCGACTTTGTTCGAATCATGTTAGTTTCTCAAAATAAAGTCTAATACGAAATGAACCTTGTGTTGGGATTTATGCATTAACGTCATGTAATTTATTATTTATTTTCTAATGATAATCTTGATTATTTTATTTACCGTTTAGTATCCACTGTATGACGAATTTAGTGTTATTAAGTATAATCGTAAACAGTATGTGGTTGACATAAGAGAGTATCATACAGTATATGAATAAGGTTGGTATCTTATCCTAGTAACACTATAAATCATTCATGTTGAGACATGTGATGGATGTACATATACATAGTGAATTTGTAGAAGACTATATTGCGAAATATTTAATCTCGGAGAAGGTTAATATTTGTATTTATATAGTTTGGATCGTTATATCTTACAATCATGAGAATGACTATTTTATCCTCGTTGAATATATGCATGTATAATCCCGTCTTCGTTTTTTTCTTCTTTATATCTAAATAACATGTTCACCTATTAAAAAATGGTCCAAACGAGATTCTTTTAAATGTGAAATTACACTTTTAAATCCGAAACTTTTATAATTATTTAATTTTTACCCTTCAAATATCTAATAATTGAATTGAGTCCAAAATATTAATAAAAAAACCTTAGCCTTTATAGTTTTTAAATGAATCAATGATATAAAAAAAAAAAAAATCCAAATTCTCCAAGTCTTCTTAAAACAGCAACCTACCACACTGAATCTCCAATTTCTCAATATGAACTAGTTGACTCTCTCTCTCTCTCTCTCTCTCTCTCTCTCTCTCTCTCTCTCTCNTATATATATATATATATATATATATATATATATATATGTATTATATTATTTAAAATAAAAAAGAAATCATCGAAAAATGGAGTGGAAGAAACTTGTGATTGAAGAACATTAATGGAGGAGGAAGAGAGGAAGAGGCAAGTGGATGGAACTTGAAAATTCATTGGATGCCACAACGACGTTATTTACTTTGATTCATAATAATAATTATATATATTAATTAATCTAATATTTGTTTTCCGATGTGAATTTGGTGGATCTCCCACCCATTATTTTAAACATCAACGCACATGCATATCCATTTATAAACTTCCATCCCTTTTCAAAACACTTCACCCTCTTCACCCCTGTCTCTCTTTGTATGAACGTGATCTATCTATCTATCTATTACAGTTCCAATGCCCCCAACTCTATTTGATTTGATCACTCGATGGCTTTTCATTCAACGGATCCCAATATGAATGACCGAATGAATTAATAAAAAACAAAAACAGGAAACTTTTTAAGGAGAAGAATTCTCCCCACCCCCGTATTGTAATCAAGAGCTACCCCTATCTAAGGCTTCAAGCTAAACATTTTGTTGGGAGTAGAACAAAACATTCATTTTTTATATGGGTGTAAAAATCTCTCACTAACAAATGTGTTTTATCAAATGGTATCAGAGTCGGACACTAGGCGATGTGCCAGTGAGTAGGCCAAGCCTCAAAGGGAGTGGACACGAGACAGTGTGCCGGTAAGGATGCTGACCCCAAACGGGGTGGATTGAGGGTCTTATGGTGCAAATTCACTATTTGAGTTGTTTGAATGCAATAAGCAGCAGACATAGAAGAAGAATGAAACAGCGAAAGGGGGGGGGAAAAAGAAAAGAGTGTGGTGTAGCCTAAAAGATAATAGAAGATCTGTCCTGTTTGTTAAGCAACAAAAAATGGTATTGAAACAGGAAGAAACAGTGTAGGAAAGGAATGGGGAGTTTAGTTTCTGAAATGGGGGTTCCATTTATAGGCAATGACTGAGACATATCCCATGGCAGTGAAAAGACAATAATTCCTCTTCTAGGACCCCCAACAACACAGCCCCCTCTCTCATGTCTCTATTCAATAAACAGTAAATTAGCCTTTCGGCTGCTACCAAATAATATTGCACCATTTGTGAGAAAGAAAAAAAAAAAAAAAAAAAAAGAAAAAGAAAAAAGGCATCATCAGATCGATCAGACAGAGCTTAAAAACACCATTATTTTTTTTTAGAAAAAAAAGAGCATGAAAATGGATTCATAAATGCAAAACGCATCTAGTGTTTAAGAACTATCCTCCTGTGCATGCTCTATGCTCCGACCCATTAAAACTAAACCCTCCCATGAAACTGTCTTGTCTTAATCACCATCCAAAAACAAAAAACACCTTGGGGCATGCACAAGGATATATCATAAACCAGATGCTAAAATGTAACAACAAAAAATTAATACCTAGACGAGAAAATTCATTAAAAAAAAAAAAAAAAAGAATCAACAAGAGGGTCCAATGTTAATATTCCTACCATCATCTGCAGTAGCTTCAGGCTTGTGGATTTGCTGCGATCGGTGTGGATGGGGTTGCTGCTGTTGTTGCTGTGATTGGTCAAGCTGAGTTTGCTGAGGTTGAGGAAATAGCTGTACTTGAAGCGGATGATGATGGTGGGAATGGGAATGGGAATGGGAATGGGAGTGTTCTGGTTGCGTTTGAATTTGGTAGCTATTGTCTGGAAAAGTTCCCAATGTCAAATCTGAAGGCGAATTCATCTGATTATTAAACCCACCAGCACCGGTACCGGCACCGGCACCAACACCAGCCGGGTCAAACCCATTGAACCTCAAGAGCTCGTGCTGGCGTTGGGAAGGAGAATGCTGTTGCTGCTGATGCTGCTGGGTTTGCTTCTGCTCGTACGCTCTGAACATTTCTTGCTGCTCTCTGGCCGCCACTGCCGCAGCCAATTGCTGTGCCTCAAACAACTGCTGCTGCTGCTGTATCTGGTGGTGATGTTGTTGTTGCTGATGGGGCGATTCACGAATGAGCATCTGTTGGGAGGAGCCACCGCCGCCAGAAGAGGGAATCCCAAACATGGGGGACATGTTGTAAGGAAGTAGGACGGAGGAGGAAGGGCTAGTGACGGGTCCTTGAGGGTTAGAGGTCATAATGGCAGTGGAAGGCTGAAGAATTGGAATCATTGCTTGAGGGCCAACATAACTGGCCAGTTCCTTTTTGGCATTGTACAGGTCGCTTTGCATTTGCTTTAGCTTGTGTTGTAGGACAGAGATAAGGCCGACACATCCGTACACTGGGTCTCGCAGACGAAACTCTGCCTCATAGGCTAATGAGTTCACTGCGTCTTCACGCTGCGACGCGTTCAACTCATTCAAAAGCTTCGCCACGTTGCTTGCGCCAAACACCTTGTGAACATTAGCGAATTTCTGCGGCTGATCCGGTGGGAAGTACGGCGCGAATACGCATTCTTGTGTGCATTTTCGCCGAAGAAATTTACACGCCGCACATGGTGAATTCGACGATGACATTCTTCTATTACCAAATCACTTTCCGTTTTTTCTTCAACGACTGAAAAACAAAAAAAAAAAAAAAAAAAAAAAAAAAAAAAAAAAAAAAAAATGTATATATATATACACACACACACACACACACACACATATATATGTAGCCATGGAATTGGATTCTTGTGAAAAGGATTAAATTAAAGAGAGGAAAAAAACAAAAGCGAAGAATCTGATCGGCCAAAATAGCTTCCAACAACACAGATTTCAGGAAAAGAAAAAGAAAAAGAGAGAGAGAGAGCGACAGTGGAACAGAAAACAATGAAACATAAGAATCAAAACTAAAATGAGCGTCAACGTTGAAAGTAGCGATTCAATCTGAGATTATTGCGAGAAGCTTCGTTTGCTTTCCAAATATATTTGAAGAAGAAAGGACGAAAAACTCACCTGAGATTATTGCTCGTTCGTCCTCAACTGGTTTGAATCGCAGTAAAGTCCATGGATAAAACGGAAACAAACGAAAACCTGAGCAGAAAAAACTCAAGAATTGAAGAAGGAACAGATCGAAAAGAAACGTCAATGGCGAAAAGGTGGAAAACCTTCGGTATTCTTCTTCTTCTTCTTCTTCTGGTTCTTGTTCTTGTTCTGGTTCTTCTGGTTTTAGGGTTTGGAAAGCGAGAGAAAGCGCTGGATCCGATCTTCGAGTTTCACAATCCCCAACAGAAGAAGAACAGAAAGAGAGAAAAGGGAAATCAAATAATTAATTATTTAATTAATTAAAGAAATAAAATTGTTAGAGAAAAAAAAAAAAAAATTGAAGGATCATAACTGTGGCGTCGACGTCAAATATTTTTTTAAAATTAAAATATTTTTAAAAAACATGGGGAAATCAGAGGCGTTAAGATTGGAAGAGAGGAAGGACGGCCGTTGGATGGACCTCTCATTCTGAGCAGCTATTCAATGCGTCTCTGAGTTACCTCTTTGTCCCTGTACTGTCCCTTTTTAATACCCAAAATACCCCTCCCCTTCCAAGTTTCTCTCACCATTATTTTCAATTTTATTTTATTTTTGTTTTAAAGAAAGAAAATAAATTAAAATTTTATTAGACACATAAAATTAAAATTTGAATTAAATATAAAATTTAATTAAAAGCTAAAAGGCTAACCATTAAAAGATTGCGGTGAGAAATGGACAAAAATTTAGCCACCAAAATTGAAAAGCCAAAATCATTAAAAATAAAAAATTTTAAAAAAAAAACCAAAATTAAATTAAACAAAATTTCCTACTAAACCTTTATTTATTACATATTTATTAAATAAAATTTCCAATTTA